TGAATGAATTGGCACAGGAGACTGCTTCCTTAACATAACACCAGTAGCACAGACACTGAGATCCGAAATTAATAAATGGGACCTCCTGAAACTGAGAAGCTTCTGTAAAAAGACAAAAGACACAGTCAACAAGACAAAACAGCAGCCCACAGAATGGGAAAATGTCTTCACCAACCCCACATCTTACAGAGGGCTGATTTCCAAAATATAGAAAGAACTCAAGAGGCTAGTCACCAAAACACCAAACAATTCAATTAAAAACTGGGGTATAGAATTACACAGAGAATTCTCAACAGACGAATCTAAAATGGCTGAAAGACACTTAAGAAATTGCTCAATATCCTTAGCCACCAGAGGAATGCAAATCAAAACAACTCTGAGATACCATCTTTCACCTGTTTGGTTAGAATTTCTGAAGATATATTATGTTGTTTGTGGCTCTTGAAAAGGGTGATGTTTCCCTGATTTCTTTTTCAGCCCATTTATCATTTGTGTATAGTTAATCTTGTATCCTGCCACTTTGCTGAAAGTGTTTATCAGATGTAGGAGTCCTGGTAGAATTTTGAGGGTCACTAATGTATACTATCATATCCTATGCCTTTCTAATTTGTATCCCCTTGGTTTTCATTTATTGTCTCATTGCTCTAGCTAGAACTTCAAGTACTATATCGAATAGACATGAAGAGAGTGGACAGTTTTGTCTTGTTCCTGATTTTAGTGGGATTGCTCTGTGTTTCTCTCCATTTTGTGAGCTTGCTGTATATTGCCTCTATTATATCTAGGTATGTTTCTTGTGCCCCTTATCTCTTCAAAACCTTTATCCTGAAGGGGAGTTGAATTTTGTCAGAGCCTTTTTTTTTTTTCATCATCTAGTGAAATGATCATGTGGTGTTTTCTTTCAGTTTGTTTATATGGTGGATTATATAGACAGTTTTTTGTATGTTAAACCATCCCTGCATCTCTGGGATGAAGTCTCCTTGATTATGGTGGATGACTATTTTTGATGTGTTCTTGGATTCGGTTTCATTGAGTATTTTTGCATCAATGTTGATGAGGGATATTGTTCTGTAATTCTCTTTCTTTGTTTTGTTTTAGTGTGGTTTGGGTATCAGTGTGTGACCATAGCCTCATAGAAAGAGTTTGGTAACGTTCCTTCTGTTTCTATCATGTGTAACACTTTTAGTAGTATTGGTATTATTTCTTTCTTGAAATTCTGGTAGAATTCTGTGCTGAAACCATCTGACCCTTGGCTTTTGTGTGTGTGTGTGTGTGTGTGTGTGTGGGGCCGGGGGGGGGGGGAAGAGACTTTTAATGCCTGCTTTCTCTTCCCATAGGGGATATAGGGGATATAGGGGACATATTTAAGTTGTTTATCTGGTCTTGATTTAATTTTTATAAGTTGTACCTATCCAGAAACTTGTCCATTTCTTTTAGGTTTTCCAAATTTTGAAGTATAGGCTTTTGAAGTATGACCCAATCATTGTCTAGATTTCCTCAGTGTCTATTATTATGCCCCCCTTTTCATTCCATTACTTTGTTAATTTGGGTATTCTCTCTCTGCTTTTTAGTTAGTTTTGATAAGGGTTTGTCTAGCTTAATGATTTTGTTAAATAACCAACTCTTGGTTTCATTGCTTCTTTTTGTTTGTATTTTATTGATTTCAGTCCTCAGTTTTACCTTTTTCCTGTCATCTACTCTTCCTGGTTGAGTTTGGTTCTTTTTGTTCTATAGGGTTTGGATGTGCTGTTCAATCTCTTGTGAGATTTCTCCAACTTCTTTATGTAGGCATTTAGTGCTATGAACTTTCCTTTTCTCACTATCATCATTTGTTCCATAAATTTGGGTATGTTGTGCCTTCACTTTCATTGAATTGTAGGAAATCTTTAATATCTTCCTTCCTTCCTTCCTTCCTTCCTTTCTTTCTTAACCTAATGGTGATTCAGTTGAGCTTGTTTGGTTTCTATGAGGTTGTAGACTTTCCTATTTTGTGTTGTGATCTGATAAGTCCGATAAGATACTGGGGATTATTACATTTTTTTCTTTTTCTTTTCTTTATTATTTATTTATTTATTTATTTATTTATTTGTATAGGTTGATATTTGCTTTGTGACTGAGTTATGTGATCAGTTTTAGAGAATGTTCCATAAGGTACTGAGAAGAAGGTATATTCTTTTTGTTTGGGTGAAGTGTTCTATGTATGTCTGTTAAGTGTAGTTGAGTCATAACATCTCTTAGCTCCTTTGTCTGTTAAGTTTCTGTCCAGAAGACCTGTCCTTTGTTGAGAGTGACATGTTAAAGTCTCCCACTATTAGTGTGTAGAGTTTTATGTGTGCTTTAAACTTTAGCAATATTTCTTTTACAAATGTGGGTGACCTTGTATTTGGGGTATAAATGTTCAGAAATGAGTCTTCATCTTGATGGATTTGCCCTGTGATGATTTTGAAATGTCTTTCTCTACCTCTTATAAATAATTTTAGTTTGAAGTGTATTTTGTTAGGTTAGTATAGCTACACTGGCTTCCTTCTTAGGACCATTTGAATGAAAAATCTTTTCCTAACCCTGTACTCTGGGGTAATGTCTGTCTTTGAAGTTGAGGTGTGTTTCTTGTACGCAGCAGAAGGATAGATCCTGTTTTCATATCCATTTTGTCAACCTGTGTCTTTTTATGCATCTGTGGTTCCTGTTCATTTACCAGAATTTTCCATTTCCCAAATTCCTGTGGTTTGTGTTTTCTTTATTGTTTGTAATTCAATTTTCAAGTCTTGAACTGTCTCCTTCACCTATTTGATTGCATTTTTTTTTTTTTTTTTTTTTTTTTGGCTTTCCTCGCTTACTTTAAGGGATTTATTGATTTATTCCAATTTTTGTTTGCCTCTTCCTCCATTTCTTTAAGGGAATTTTTTATTTCCTATTTAAGGGCCTCTATCATCTCCATAAAGTTATTTTGAGGTTGTTTTCTTCTGCTTCATCTGTTTTGGGATGCTCAGGTCTTGCTGTTATAGAACCACTAGGTTCTGGTGGTACCATACTTCTCTTTATATTGTTGTGTGTCAGCATCCCAGGTGGGCTACACCTGACCTGGCTCTAGAGTGTTATCACCTGGCCCTAATTAATCTTTTGTTTAGCAGATACCCTTTGTTTCTCTTGTCTACCTTCATGAATCTTGCTTGAGAGTTTCCCAAGGATACAAAGCCAATGCAAAACTTGGTTCGGAAACCCAGAAAACTGTGGTACCTGATGAATCAAGAATTTGCACTTGGCATTTTGTTTTTGAAAGCCTCATTCAGGTTGCTTTGAGCATATGGAACTCAACTTGCTAAGGTGTAAATATGGAGAAAAATAAAGATGTCCTGGTGAAGGAAAAGCAGGTCAGTCCTTAGAGGCTGAATCCCCTTGCAGTCAAGAAGGGCTAAAGTAATTCTTAAGGTACCTCTGAGTCTTCTTTCCTGGACCCTCGGGAATCCAACACCCAAATGCAACATTGTTGAGTGTATTCTTATACTGTCTTCACCCATCTGGGTACAGGCATTGATTTTTCGTCCAATTAATGGAGGTGCTGTCTATGCCTCACAGGGCCGATTTTCCTCCCATTGGTGCTGGTAGAGCCTGTGCCTTCCAGGCAGTCTCTGCTGGGGCTGGTGGTGGAGTGGCCTGGGTGCTGTAGTCTTGCCTCATGAATGGCGGTTGAGGCTCTTCCTCCAGCTGGCGCAGGTGAGGGCTATTTCTCCCAGTGCCTGTTATGCCACTCTTGCTTCAATGGATGCAGGTGGGGCTGTGCCTCCAAGGGCCTCTGATGCAGCTGGGGATGGTGGTGGAACCACCTCACCATAGGAGACTTGGCTACAGATCAGCTGCTGGGGCTGGTGAGGGTGTGACACATGAAGTACCCTGGACCTAAGGCTTAGAGACCGAGGCTCTAGTCCCTCTTAGTCCCATCCATGCCGGTGGGGGCTGTGCCTTTGGGGCCTCTGATGCAGCTGGAGCTAGTGATGGAGTGGCCTTCCCATAGCAGACTTGCCTGCAGACTGGCTGTTAGGGCTGCCACTGATGGGGCAGCGAGAAATGAAATCTTAAGGAAGTGCAACGTGTGCATTAGAAACAACAGGTGCCCTCAAACAGAAGACGTTTTAGTTGTCTTAACTGTTCCCAACATCTAACGCAATGAGGCAGCAAAAGTCGTCCATCTAAAGAGGAAGTCTCTTTCTGGGAAGATGCTGCAGAGGAAGGAGGGGGAGATATGAAGATGATCTTGGGGCTGGGATGACTAAACCACATTGCACATTTGAAGAAATATCAGAGTAATTAAAATTATTAATAGAAAGGGGGAAATCTCACATTTCTTTTTTCTTTTTTCTTTTTCAACTTACTCTGCAAACACTGTCACAGTTCATCTCCAGCCAAGAACTTTAACTTCTTTGATATAGTGATAATGGAGGCATGACTTTCAGATTCCACACACTTTAGATACACAAAGTTGTTTAGTATTGTCTAGAGAAAAACAGAACTCGTGGGAAATAGAGAGAGTTGACTTTAGGCCAATTCAGGATAGGCCTGTCTACAGGTCAGCTTCAGGACAGCCATGGTTCCCTAAATTCTGAAAAGCATCCACCCTCTGTCCTTCCTCCTAGTCCTCATTTGTGTTCTCTTGGTGGACTACCTGCTCCAGTTTGGAGTTTGACACTTGGGCTGTGTCTGTGAATCCAGTGCTTTCTGAATGATGCATTTTGACTCTATAGAACTAGGTAAAGGACACAAGCCTGCCAGGCTGTGCTAAGACATGGCTACATATATGGATATTTTGCTTTCCCTCTGGTCCAATGAGAATTGTGCCATTTCTGTATTGTTTACTTTATATTAAAGTTACCCTGATACAGAGAAATTCATGTTTCCATTCCTATAGTGACTTAATTGAGGTGTTACTTTCTAAATGTCAAGCTACCAGTTAAAGTAATGCTATGTGTTGGCTGTCAACATGGTCTTTCTCTTTTTCTTAAATTTCAATGCTTACCCTTATGACCTTTTTTTTTGTATTATATCTGCTACTATTTTCAGTTTTGCAGTACAGTCAAGAAAAGCATGAATTGAAGAAAACTCTAAATAATCTCAAGAGTATATCACCATGCAAAATGATAGCTACTTAAGGAAAGAAATGTTGAGAAATAAGCCTACAAAACATCTGGACTCCCTCAACAGAAAACAGAAGAGATGCTGTAGGAAAATTGAAGTTGTTTTAGATTGCTATCAGCACACAGGTATGGTGGTGATCTTGAATAAAAAATTCATTATTCTGTATTGATTTTTCTCCAGAAGATTTGAAGTCCAGTCAGCAGCTTTCAATGGGGTTGATAGTTAGGGGTTTCCCTATTTCATTTAGGGGTCTGGAACACCAGAAATCCCTGTTTGAATTAAGAGAATCTTATAGTTTCTAGACCTTAGTGGCTGTTCTCTCTCTCTCTCCCTCCCTCCCTCCCTCCCCCCCTCTGTGTGTGTGTGTGTACTGGTGTGTATGTTCCTTCTGCATTGGTATGAGAGGCTCCCTGCAGAACATATGGAAGCTTCCCCATGGTATACACACTTGTGTAACTCTGTCAGTGACACAGTGAATGAGGCAAGAAAGATTAAAACATATCAAGTATTACAAAGAACCTTTCTTACCTTGCATCATGATGACTTGTTAACTTTAATTAATAATAAATAAATTTTAACACAGTTTATATTCAGTATTAAATATTTTTTTTTCAGAATCTAGAGTTTACAGAGAGATTTTTGCATATGATCTCACTCTACCATGATAGGGTTGGCAGTTTTCATTATGGAAGGACTAATACTACCTTTAACGCTGCTACATTACAAAAATAAGTGCTAGGAAAAGAAAAAGTGCCAGATTTTTAAATATCCGAGACCCATGAAAAATGTTATTTTAAAATAACTTCATCATCTGTAAATGATAGCATATTGCTATAGTCCCTGTCCTTAGGAGGTTGAGACAGGAGGATTATAACTATGAGGACAACCTGGACAGCTCAGCAAGTTCCAGGAGATATACAATGATGCCTCCTCACAGAAAAGCAAAGGTTGGAGATAAAGTTTATTAATAAGGCAAGCCCTTTCTCCAGGCCCTCAATAAACAAAATAATCACACTGAGGTGTGGTTGTTATATAAAAAAAAATGCCTACATTTTAATGTATTCAACTTGACATGGTTGGCTATGTGGGAACAGTATTGAAGGCATCAATGCACTCAGGAGAGAAGACTAACACCTTCAAATGCTCCCTCATACATCTCTTATTTCTCTTAAGGCAAGAGCCTCTAACACAGACGACAGCACAACCTTATGTGCACAATATGTGTGAATGGCCTAGGGCACAGTGCATTGCTGCAGGTCTAGAATTGCGTCATCCTTGTGCCTCTGAGCAGCAACTGTTCACTCCCATGTGCCACTTCTGGTAGCTCACATACCTCTGATTCTTAGGGGTAGGCTGGGTTAGAACCCTCAGCTGAGTTGAGTCACAAAGTATGGTCCTGGGCCTGGCATGTTTCATTTCACACACCATCCTCACATTCATCCATGTTTGAGCATCTCTTTTTTGGGGGGGATGTTGAGGTTTGAGACAAGGTTTAAATCTGTAGCCTAGTTTATCTTAGAATCTTCTTTACAGCCACGGCTTGTATGGAAGTCACTACTTAGCCTAGGCTGGCCTCAAGCTGGTGGTGATCTCACTCTGTGGAGTGCTCAGGTCATCGGCATAAGTCATCATGCCCAGCCGGTTTACTTGCCTTTGAAGGATAAATAGTTTTCCTTTGTGTGCATATGCTACATTTTTTTCTACTGATTTATCCACAATGGACAGTAAACTGTTTTCAGATATCTACTGCTTGTGTGTACAGGGATCTCTCACCATTCTGGAAGCTCAACTTGTGAGAGCTGTGAGAATTAACTCAGTTATGGAGGCTTAATAAGTAAGAACATTGCTCTGATAACAGTATGTGAGAAAATAAGAACTTTAACCATTCACCTTCTCTGTTTTAGGCAAGCATGTTGACATGTTTTGCCGTGGCATAAAATGTTATTATTTCAGCATGAACAAAAAATGCTGGAATGGATGCAAACAGACATGTCAGGATTGCAGCTTATCACTTTTGAAGATAGACGACAATGATGAACTGGTGTTGTAGACTCTTATTTTTCACTGTATTCTCTGAGACTCTATCTGTAACCCTGGGATAGAGAGATACTGATTCTAGGCATGCTTTTTGATAGTGAAATCTTCAAGGGTTGTATATTGTTTGCTGGTCATGTGAGCAAACCTGTGCAGTAAGAGTCTCCCAGGAAACTCCCTCCTGCTCCTGGCTTAGAGTCGGGACACAGGGTCTGTTATAAGGAGACTGCTTACTAAAGCGACAGTCCTGTCTTTGAAATCTTACCCCTTCTCAGAGGTCTACAAAACAGTCCCTCAGAAAAGCATGTTTTCCGTGAATAAGTTTAAACCAGTAGTACAGTCTATCCTGTGACTGACAGTTATATATCTCCATAGAGTGCCAGCTACACCCAGAGAGGCCAAAGTCTCTAACTTGCTCTTTGGAACCCAGAAGTGAGACTCCCTGAGATGAATAATTGGGTGACCATGGGGAAAGTAATTGACCCCTGGGCCAATCTTCGAAGTGGAGATTATATGAGAACTGTGAAATTAAATGGTTTTACCAGTTAGCTCCATGGTTATTTTCAATGACACAGTCCAAAATCTTTACTTCATACTACTTTTATGTTCTTTAAAAGATGTCTATTTTTTTTAGAAATTAGTAATTAAAAGAAAACAAAGGTGCCAAGATGCTGACATTTTCTGTTTAAATTATTACTAACAAAATTTCTTCTAATATGAAGACTTGTATTTTGCTAGAGAAAAGCTTGCAGGATCCTTTGTCATTTAGAGCATGGCAAAACTTATATACCAATTTAAAAACATGTATAACAGTGACAACATAAAACCGTTTTTAATGTCAAATAATAATGTAAATTGCCATCTGATACAATAATCATAATTAAATTTAAACCCATGTTTAGAAATATATTCAGCAATTTAATTAGACACCATGCCACTTGGATGTCACATGTAAGATACTAAATTTTTCCAACTGTGTGTCCCTTCCATTCTCAGTTTCTGTCACTTCCAGGGTCTGAACTTCAAAACAACTTCCTCGTGGGAGCATGGAGCTCTATGCGCAGCTTTCCACACAGGATCTTTCATCTTAATGAATTTGCTTTGAAGACTGGGCATTACTTACCATACAAATACTTGCACATTTTTCTGTAGTGCCACACTGGAATAATTTCACATAGTGCCAGAAATTATCTGATGAGCCATGCATGCAGTGTGCTTGTTTTTAGGAGCCAGGAGCAGGGAATATTTTGAGTTAAGGATCAGCAGTGAGACTTTCTCTGAGAAACATAGACATAAATCCTACCACAAATTCAGTATCTTTAGGCACCTGGTGTTTCAATTTTAAGTAACTTATGAAACTGACATTGGTTTTTGGTATACATGAGCTACTAGTGGGAAATCACTTCAAAATGAACTCAGGGGGACTGAAGTGCTAGAGGATAGGACAGCAGAGGGCTGATTGATGTAAGAATAGCTGGGACCTGCTATGTTATTCTTTTTTTCACCAAACAGAAATTTTGTCATAAGATGTGTTTTTCCCTTACAGAAGTTCCTTCAAAACCAAACTAATCCAGAAAATTACTGGATTGGATTGTCATATGATACAAGGAACACATGGCAATGGATTGGTACTGGCAGTTTCCTGAGCCCTCACTCTCTAACACTGGTGCAGGAGTTGGGAGGATGGTGTGCAAAGACTTTTCTCTCATTTCACATGGCTTTCCTCATTTTCTATGGAGCTCACAGGTGAGGACAAGATCACAAGGCAGTATCTGAGCAAGTGTTAGAGAGGGAAGAGGTATGGTCTAGAAGCTGACTGCTTAGTTATGTAATACTGAACACAGCTCAGAACTGTATGTTCTAAGATGCAGAGGGCACAGGTGAATCAGCAGCTTAAGATGTGGAGTGACTGGATCATCCTGATAGATGCTATGAGTGTGAATATCTGAAACATTCATTTCACTTGTTTCTCCAGTTAGCTTATATGATTGCTTGTTATTTATACACATAAAACCTTTTCACATATACATACACATGCATATCTACCTTCCATTTCAAGGTGTTACATCGTTATGATCTCCAAGTTTTATGTTAATTTATTATTTGGTAGAAAACTATGCATTGATTATCTTTCACAGTAGTATTTCTCTTTCTTGAATATATCTCATATGCATAAAACAAAATATGATCACATCCTTCTCTATGTCCCCCCCCAACTTCCTCTGCTTCTGTGCTAACATGTGCCCCTCTAACTCTTGTTTTCTTAAATGAAGCTGTCCCTGGGTGCAAGGTAGAGCATCCACAGGAACAAGGATACCTGTCAGTGGTCACATCCTGCCCACAGTGAATCTTCCTTTTCCAGCTGCTGGCACCTAACATAAATTGTCAGGTCCAGAACATTGCTTTTCACTGTGCTTTCTCCCTTTTTAGTTCTTGCATTTTTCTGCTTCCTCTTCCCTCTTTCCTGAGTCTTGGTGGTAGTGTTTGGGGAAAGGGTTTTATGAAGTTGTCCCCTCTGGAACTGAGCACACATTCTTCTCCTAAGCATTTTGACCAATTCTGCTTCTTTTCACTAACTACTGCCTATTACAAAAAAGAAGCTTCTCTGACAAAGTTTGAGAGGATCCCAGATCAGGCCATAAATGCAAACATTAAGAATGCAATTTGACCACATGACTACTTAGCAAGATGAGAGTATCAGGTTCCACACTAGTGATCATGACTTTCAAATTATGGGATTCTGATTTGGGTTTCAAAATCAAACTTGGCATCCTTCAACTCCAATAAGAAAGCAATTAGTTATTATATAATAATGGTTCCAGTAGACACAGCTTGCCTGGCAGGTCAGCATTGTGGCATGCAGTGTCTAATACTAGGGAAGACCATTTATATCTTTTCTCCCTGTGGTATTTTAAATGTAATTGGCCTCCATAATTTCACAAGGCGTGGCACTTTAAGGAGGTGTGGCCTGTTGGATTAGATAGGATATTGCTGGAGGAAGTGTATTACTGTGGGGGCTCCAGATACCACTGAGTATGTCAGTCTACTTCCTGTAGCCTGCATATCAATATGTAGTCAGCATCATGTCTGTGTATGCCACGACGCTCACCAGCATGATAATAATGGACTGAACCTCTGAAACTATAATTAAATGTTTTCCTTATAAGAGTTGCCAAGGTCATTGTGTCTCTTCATAGCAATAGAAACCCCAACTAAGACAATCCCCTAGCAACCTACAAAGGACCCTTTGACCAACTGAAAGCTAACTGAAGGGAATACATTTCCTGAATGATTTAAGGTTGATATTTTTTCTATGTCCTGGCACTAAGTATGTCGTGTCTTCAGCAATAGGGTGTCACCATATAGTTATGGTGGAAAACCAAGGGCATGGCAATTTCCTGTGTTTGTTGGAGACCTCTGTGGTCTTCCCGACCAGTAATTCCTTTGGAGGTATCCCTTACCTTGCATTTTGCTTTTCATTTAATAACTCATATCTTCTGTGGATCTAACTTAATTCTTTTTTAAATTTTATTTTGATATTTTAAAATTACATTTTTTCATAGAATATATTTTGATGAGGTATAGTTAGAGGAGCATTGAAAGAGTCACTTCTCTCCTGTTGTGTGGGGTCTGAGGTCTGATCTCTGGTTTCATAGTGACTTCTAATATACCATCATGCAGAAATCAGAGTTGTATTGCATACCAGAAATTCAGTAGATGGCCATGTTTCAGTGAAGACCCATTAGCTATGGGGTGTGGGGAAGGAAGAAAGGGGGAACAGCCCAAAACATTAGCTATAGGCTGTCATCTGTGACTGTATTCTAAATCTTTCCTCTCACATTTCCCCTCACATTTGTTTCTACCTGGCATGCTTATTGATGATATATAAGTGGCAAAGCAGACAGCATAAAATAATTCCTTGGAAATATTGAAAATGAGTTCTACCTGCTGACCAAACACTGTAGCTGTGGAGTAAGATGTATTTTCATATGACCCAGAGATGATTTTTTAAAATAAATTTAAAGAAAAGAAAACATTTTAGTGATGAACTTATGACTAATAGTTCCATATTCTGTATACTTTGGCCAATAGAGTTTTCAAAATCATGACATTTCAGTGAATGTTCAAAACTAAATAACTGCCCATTGTTTTTGTTCTCTAGTGACTTGAGCGTAACGAAATTCAATCATAGCACTAGAAGATGTGCATTTTTATCTAGAACAAGACTAGATGATGATGGATGTGATCGACACTATCACTGTATCTGTGAGAAGAGATTGCACATTCTCTAATTCACTCTCTAGCGAGTGGTGAAGGTAAAATGGAGTGTGCTGATGCGCCTGTGTTTCCTGTAAAAATCCGTGATTCCTCATAAACAAGAGTTTTGATCACAGGACTTAGTCCACTGTGCAAACAGAGAGATGAGCAGGGAGAGGTCAGGAATGTTCTCCAGTGTCTCTCTTGAAAGCACAGAGGCCATCATCTTCCTTCCTGGTTGAGAAAAGAAACAGCTACTCTAGTGCATGGACACCCTTCGCCTCCAGCCCCTGAAAAATCTGCTCTTTCTGTTTTTTTTTTTTTTTTTTTGAATACCCATTGAACTAAATAAAGAACCCTAATAAGCAGCCTGAGTATTTCATTATCATTATCAGTAGGATAAATGGTCTTAATTGAAAGCACAATTAAGAACCATAATGTAGTTGTGGGCTTCCATTTCTTATTAGTTGATTGTTGTTTTACTTCATGTGAAGTTTTCTTCATTGTTATAAACATTTCTTTTGGCCATTAAATACAATTTCAAATTTAGTGAACAGTTGCAAGAATAGTTCAAGCAACTGCTGAATATATATTATCCAAGATGTCAGTTATCCTACCCACCCTTCTTTAATTCATCTATGCTAAGTTGAGGCCTTATACAAATGGTGGTAATAATTGATGTTGGCTAGCTATGGTGGCTTACACATTTAATCTTAGCATTAAATGGCTAAGACAAGATTGCTGGGGGAAAAAAATGAATACAGTGATAGCCTGTGTCATAGAACCAAACAAACCAAACAAAATTAAGGCACAAATGTTCCTATTTTTCAGGGACAACACTTTATCTTATACCATAACTAAATGATCAAATTCAGGACATTTACTATTTATATAGTAATTTGTTCTAACCCAGAATCCATGAACTCATCCACTGACTAGATAATGTCAATCTAGTCATTTCCTCCAAATTCACTTGCATTCAGTGAATTCAGTGAATTCAAAATGACTTTTGAATAGTTTATTATGTTTTCTTGTGGTTTGTTGTTGATGGTAGTTTTTTTTTTTTTTTTCCCCAAGAGAGGGTTTCTTTGTGTTACCCTGTCTGTCCTGTGTAGAACAGACTGACTTGGAAATCAGATATTTGCCTGTCTCTGCCTCTTGAGTCCTGATATTAAAGGTGTGTGCTAGATCATATATATGAATTTTCTTGCCTTGGCAAGCCTTGATCTTGCTGTATAGACAACACTGCCCTTAAACTCATAGAGATCCAAGTGCTTTTGCCTCCAAAGTGCTAGGATTAAAACATGGAGCACAATGCCCAGCTGAGAACGATGGACTTTAATAAGTACACTTCTCGTCCTCCATCAAATCCAAATGTAGTCCTCAGGTCAGCGCAGATGCCTGTGAGCACTTAAAAGCAGTATGGCATGGTGTGCCACAGCCTGGATGAAACCTGATTCCCCAGATCTGTGGACATCTGTATCCCACTTCTGACACCAGATATTCAGGGAGAAATAACTTACAGCAGAGACAGATGAACACCAGCAGATTCCTGGCTCCAAGGATGCTTCCAGATGCTCTCTGTGCCAGTCCAGCAAGCAAGAGAGCACTCAGGGGCACCTTCCCCAGACCTCGTCCCCCAGGTCACGCCCACCCCTGTCCCCAATGGGCATGGTCAGTGCCACAGGTTCGGACAAAGTGAATATCTTACTACATCCAAACATAGTATTTTCATCTCCTCTCAAGTCCTTTCTTGTCCCCAGCTGTATTCTCTTGCACTGTGAGTTAGTTCTGTTTCCATTATAAGTTTGCATTTCCCTTCTTTTTGCCCACCAAGTTTTTAACATTAACCCATGATTTCTCCTTTTTAAAACTAATATTCATACAAATTATTTGATAATTTCTTGCCATGCATTTTAATCATACTCACTCCTCATCATTTGATTCCTTCCTATTCATTCCCACTTCCCTATTCACTCAACTCCCTGTTTTGTTTTCTTCTTGATTTGAGTCCTATTGAGTCCAATAGTGTTGTTCAGCTACATTTGAATATGGGTTGATTCATTGAAAATGTTAACAAAGCTGACAATCTGTTGACTAATTTAACCAAAATATGCAGGGAATTCAAATTGATAAAAATCAGAGATGAAAAGGGAGACATTATAACAAACACCGAGGAAATCTGGGTAATTATAGGGACATACTTTTTAAAAAATTCTGTATTCTACTTAGGTGAAAATCCATTACCTGTAAGCCTAGAACACAGATGGAGGAACCCATCCAAATTCTTTTTATGAAGCCAGCAAATATTTATTGGCATACCCTCCTCATGGAATTTTTCTTTAATGATTGTGGAATGAGCTCCTCTCTTGCCTCTCTCTAGTCTTGATTTGAAGTTTATCTTGTCAGATATTAGAATAGCTACACATGCTCTTCCAACCATTCCTCTTAAGTTCATATAAGAATTACTTTTCTAGGCCTGGCCTTAAATCCCAGCACCCAGGAGGTGGAGGCAGGTTGATCTCTCAGAGTTCCAGGCCATCCTGGTCTACAGGGTACATTTCAGGACAGCTAAAGCTACACATAAAAACCCTGTTTGAAAAAAAAATGTATCTAATGTTTGATAAAACAAGACAAATTATAGAAGAAAGGGTTTATTTTAGGCCTATGGTCCCTGAGGGATAGGGTTCTGGTTGCTGAGTAGAGACAAGGTGTAAGAAATAACTGAGAGCTCCTATCTCAAATGACATGCAGGAAGCAGAGGGAGCTAACTCTAAATGCAGTGAAAGTTTTTGAAACCTGCCTGCCTCCCAGTGACATGCTCACTCCAGGAAGACCACACCCTCTAATCTTCTCCAAACAGCCACCAATTTGGGACCAAGTATTCAAATGCCTGAAACGTGTGGAGTCCATCTGGCTTAAACCATCATGGGTGGTACCACCTGTTAACTGTCTTTCTTGGAGGCTTATTAAAGAGACAAGAATAGTGAAAAGCAGAGGAAAGAGATGCATTCCATGTGGCTAGCATTGAGAACAGGAAAACAAAACAAAACAACAGTTCCATGAACTCCAAGTCCATCTTTGCTGGCATGAGGCTTCGGGTTTAAATAGAGATCAAGAGATATGTATAAATGAGCAGAACTGTTCATACTATGATTTCAATTATCACTGTTGTTTTTGCTTCGGTCCATTTGTAAGAAGTCTGTATAACCCTTCACCTTAATTGTACTCTTCATGAATAAAGTATAGGCATACACTGAGTTAGACCACAAGCTGTCTATAAAATATGGTGACTTCTGGTCACCCACAGCTACCTGGGTCCCTGGGAAGTTAGTGATTTAAATAACAGATAAAAAAGAATTCACTTTATGGATAGATTAAAACAGACAAACAAAAAAGCTAAGGATTCTGTGAAGGTCCAAACTATATTTTAATCTCAGCATTCCTTCATTCCTACGTGGAGCTGTCAGGTCCCAAGGAATCCCTTATTGAGACATCTAAGGTAAGAATTTTCCAACTCTCTCTTTGCATTTCCTCTTATGCAATTACTTTGTTTCCCTTTCTTTAAACTGAAACTACAGGAAACCAAATAGATGATATGAATACAACAGAAGTAACACAGTATAAGATTTCTCTTTTTCATGTTCTGAAAGGGCCTCGAAATTTTAATAACGTTTGGTTGATTCTTACATAACCATTATCCTAAGGTGGTAGCAACTGTTAGCTACAACTACCCAAAGGACATTTTATTTTGCCATCCCCACCAGTCACTCATTCCTCTAAATGCCTGGTTGCTGTCATGGTCTCTGATACTACGGCTCCCGTGAAAACCTATGACAAAGTTGGGTGCAGATTTTCTGGATGCCTTGCATTCTCTCAATTTATATTTTAGCTATCTTGACCTATACTATATGGCAGGCATGCTATAGCCACACATTGCCAGTAGGACAAGGGCCAAAGATTTGGAAGATTTAGAAAGCCAGCGGTCTAGACAATGCTTTCAAGCAACTAGGTGAAATAGACTATTCATCATATGTGCAAATACATGCCAAAGGACTACATACTTATCATTGTTATAAATGTCAGTGAGCTTCTGATAACATAGAAGAATTTAACATCACATCCAGTTTCTAGAAGTGGGAATGCCTTCATAGGCAAAGTAAAGCATATGGATCCATCATAATCACGCTGGATTTATTATCCCTATGGCTATAAAGTTTGGTCTTACAACCTGGCAGTGCAATATGTAGAGAAGATACCATAGTGCAAAATAAGATGATCTAAGATGAAAACCAACACACAGAAGATGGCAATCACAAAGGAAAATTTTGTGGTTTATGGTTGAAGAATTAACAGGACCCTATGTCTCCCAGGCCATCAAAGCTGCACACCCCTGACCTCTTCCTGAGATCTCTGCTTTATGTACACTGACCTGTTACTTTAAATATTTTTTCTGCCCACAGAAAGAGAAGAATTTTTTTTTGAAAGGGTAGCATCTTAAAACTTTGTTCCTTTGAAAGGAAAGTATTATTCATCCATCACCAACAAACAACATTGCTGAAGCCTGCAGTCTTGTCAAAGCAAATTTTTACTTAAGAAGGCCCCTCAGAGGAATTCTTTAGATGGAGAAGGAAATCTATGGCAAGATGGTTTTTACTTGTCACTTTATGTGACAAGTTGTGTGGATGTGTGTGCTATGGCATTATTAGGAACTCTGTGTGACATACAGTGTGGATGTGTGTGCTATGTGCTATGGCATTTACTAGGAACTCTGTGTGACATGCAGTGTGGATGCGTGTGCTATGCCATTTACTAGGAACTCTATGGGACACATAGTGTGGATGTGTGTCCTGAACTGTTTTTCCTGCACTTCTATAGAGTAAGCTCCCTTCCCTTTTTTCCATCTCATTGCTTTTCTCTTCTCTCCAGAAATAATAGAGGAGGGTTTTTCACAGAGGAAAAAAAATCTCATGACATTTGATGCTATTCCTGTTGTTTTAAACATCACACTTGCAGAATTATTAGCTTCAAACAG